TAGGTTTTTATATGCTTTAATGTTGATTACGAAAGTGCTCTAAAATTGATAAAGTTGGTTATGTCATATTTGGATTGTTTGCGATCATGTTTTCTTTGTTGCTTCATAATTTTGAGCAGCTAAACCTTTTATAATAATAATAAATTAATTGGCGCTTACACATATTTTAGTATTTGGCCGAGCTTCTCCTCCGATTTGTGGTGGCGTGCGCCTTGATGTTGTCACACAAAGGGGAGGGATTCCGAACGGCGATTGTATTTTTGTGAGAAGCTGTTTATTATGGCAGAAATACAATCGAAGGCTGGCTATTGACTGCCGAGGGGCGGCCGCTATAAGAAAAAAACTTTTTTTGTAAGTGAAACTTCTTTAGCGGCGGTTGGTTCGTTGGCAGTAAATTAGCAAATTCAACGGAAATTGCACACGGAAATGGTGCAACGGAAGTGGCACAAGGAAATGTCTGTAGCTGAAACAAGTGCTTCTTGAGTGTATGCGCATGGTATTAATTTAACAAAAACACTGTCTAATAACAGGTTAAAGAATAAAACTTAGGAAATTTCGGGATTTTGTTATTGAAATTTGTATCGATATAACGTTTCGCATAGAAAATCAATAGCATTGTGAAATATTTTAAAACTTTCATATTTTACACAAAAAGAGAAAAAATGCATATAATTGAAAAGCAGAATTAAATAGGAGTTAATAAGCGATTTCGTTTATGAAAGTAGAACTTTGGCTTGCAAATATTTCAATAGCACTTACTTAGCATTTAAATACAAATTAGCCTCTATTTAGGCGCCATTTAGATTTTCTAACAGCTTGTTATTGGTAATAAAAGAAATACTTAACGTCATGTTAGGTTGAACTCATAACCCAAGCATAGTAAATATGTATTTCTTTGCCTAACAGCTGCCGCAAACGAAACAATAAACTGGCATCGATTTTAAGACTAGCATTGTTTGTTGTTGTGGATCGCATATTAAAGCCAAGAAATTTTATCTATGTTAAGTTTCTAATTACAGTTAAAGATGCGAAAAATATTAGACCAAAAACTTTAATAGTGTGTGAAATTAGTTTTTGCAACAACAATAATGATGTAAAGTAGATATTAACATTCATACGGATAGCTTTTCCTTATTTGAAGAACTCCTACTGCGTTAAATTCTGCGCTCAAGTGAAGAGAAATGTTTAATTTTTTGCAGAGAATGTGCGATAGAAATGCTGAAAAATTTTTTGTCAGAGAAGCAATAATACATACGTTCTTACATTCAGTTTCATATCCGAAATCTTGCTAATCGTATCTATAGGAGACAGAAAAAGGCCGGAGTAACTGGAGGGTTGGGCTGCGAAAAAAGTAATTTTTTACTCTAAAACATACTAAAATTCAGTGCTTTAAGAAGCTTGAAAAAATTGCATGACAGTAAATAATTAGCAATGCTAAATTTTAGAATACATCGACGCCCTTATAGATTGACTTAAACATAGATTGCTTGAAAAAAATGCCAAAAATCAACAGTAAGTCTTAGCTACTTCAAACTTGCACTTTCTTATACTCAAATTTAAACTGCATACTCCAAATAACCTGTTTGAAAATCTTGATGAACATTTATGAAAATTCGTCGAATTTTTATAAATGTTCTACAAAGTTTGAAGTTCTGATTTATATAGTTTTGTTTAGATAGTAAGCTGCATTTCATAAAAATAAAAAAGTAGCCAAAGTTTTCTAAAACGTCTCATCCCTATTTGCATTTTCGCAACCGTACAAATTTTCCTTCTTAGCGAAAATAAAAGTTCAAGTTAAATATAATTACTGAATTATTTCATTCAGATTGATATTTTAAATGAGTCATTTACGGTGCTTTTGTTAACGAACTTGGACAGCCACCAATTTGCGATATTTCACCGGCACGGTGGTTAGATTAAATAAATGAGACGTGCATATAGGCACATATAGGTGGGTGAAGTGATTTGGTGTTGACATGAATGACTGATGGCGGGAATAGGCGACATGAATACAAAGCATGGAGAAAGTGCAGTAAATCATGAAAAGAATTTCGCCAGTTTCATCCACCGAACGTACTTTATGTGAATAAACACAAAAAAATAAATAAAGTGCGAGTTGTAAATTTGACAAACTCGTGCAAATACATACATTCGTGGAACAACGGACTTTTACATAAAAAAAATGTGCACCTACGACTAGTTTATGTACAGAATTCAATGCGGCATTTAAGCAAACTATGTATGTAGAAAAAAACAAACAAATTGAGTGCTTGAGAATTATTCATTGACAATCATAATAAGAAACCGTCAGTGAAACCGAGAAATAAGTACAATATATTAAAAGCCGAATTCCAAACAATTTTCGTGGAGCAAAATACTCAACCCTACTACAATTACTAAATAACTTAGCGTTGGCTTTATTACCAAAAACCCAAACCGCAATGTCGGCACAAAGCAAGTCTTTAAACTAAACTTTGAATAATTTATTTACTTGTGGTTTTTGGTGGTATTTTCTACGATGACTAAATTTAATGCGGATTTACAACCACTTTGCATTATTATATAAGTTTGTGAAGCGTAAAATATTTATTTTTCGGCACATGTTCGCTACATCTTTTGCCAGTTGTATCAGTTGTTGTTGTGGCAATTCACTTTCTTTAAACAAGGGTTACGTTGAACATATGCAAATATGGAATTATATATGTACATATGTATATAGTACACACTCCCTTTTCTTTGCAAAAATCTCAGTTTCGTTTTAAGTTTCAGTTTCATTTCGTATTTCTTTCAAGCCTGAAATTTGTATGTACCTGAAGTGTTAGCATATTTGGAGCAGTTACTGCTGTGCGCTTTGTTCAGCGAAATATGTATTTCCGGAGAAATTTTAATCATTTGTTTATTCTTTGCTTGGTTTCGTAACATCTGCTGATATATGCCTTTCTTTATGCCTTCGACTTCGCATAAAATGTTTGCTAAAATGCTATGCAAAGTCTAACTGGTTGCTTTCCTTTTTTAGCTTTTGAGGAAGCTCAAGGCACCTCGCAAAACGCGCTAATAAAATGCTTAGCAAACCTTTTGGCATTTTTGCAAATTAGTTGGTGTCTTTATTTTGCTCTCAACCATGTTTATATTTAGTACGATTGGATGGTTTAATTTGCTCTTCAAAAGCTTATTAACAATCCTTAGTAAGAAAAGTGTGCTCGGCAAATGACCGCTGACACATTATCATCTGCCATTTATGTAGCGATTTAATGAATCTAAGTTTAACTACTGCACATCAATTTACAATCAGTCGAGTGTAGCATACTTAGTGAGCTTTCATCGAGCCGAGGCTATTATAGTCTTGGCTTACCTTCATACAAATTTGTATTGGATTTTTGTCTTAAAAAATTTAGCCACATCATTCACTACTCCAACTCGCATCCTATGGGCTTAATAGTGCGTTGTTATGCTGGCCCACAAAATGCTTTGTGCTAGCACTAATTTGAATTCAGCATAGAAAGGTCGGAAACTTCGAAATAAGGACTGTGAAAGGTTTGGCTTGCTCTTTGAAAGGATAATGCCAGAGCTCCCTAAACTTAGAAGATTTAACTCACTTACCCGCTAGATTATATGTAAGTATTTTGGCTGCTTATTTTGAGGAAGTAACACGTTTTCTGAGAACGAGCAGACGGTGCCTTGTTTGAACAATTTACTTAATAAATTTAGTAAGTAAGCAAGTTGCGTGGCTGCCCCTCTTACCATGGCTTATGTCATCCAAACAAAAAACAAGAAAGAAAAAAGTAAATTGAGAGTTGCCACCTATTTAAAAATTAGAGTTCAGGAAAAATGATAATATAAAGCAAATATTGCAATATGGCTACCAAAAGAAAGAGGTTTAAGAAAGATTACAGCCGAAAATATTTTTGAGGAGCGCTGCCAGCTCTTTGAAAATTTTATTGCAATCAAATTGATAAATTAAATAAAATATTAAATGACGGGTATTTAGCTGAAGAAGTTTAAGAAAGTTTACTGCGAAAATATTTTTCAGTAGGGTTGCCACATATTTAAAAGTTTTAATTTAATTTAATTGACAATATAAATTTAATAGTACAATATGTGCATCAAACTAAAAAGGTGTAGCCAAGTTAAGTGTCGAAAATATTTTTGAGGCGGGTTGCCACCTGTGTGAAAATTTTAATTTAATTTAGTTGATTATATAAATTTAATATTACAATATGTGTATCAAACTAAAAAGCTGAAGGCAAGTCTAGTGTCCAAAATATTTTTGAGGCGAGTTGCCACCTGTTTGAAAATTTTAATTTAATTTAATTGATAAAATAAATTAAATATTACAATAAGGGTATCAAACGTTAGGTATTTGATTAAGAAATATCTTCAACTAGCAAATAGCCGGCCTGTTTTGCAATTTACATACATACAAGTTTGATTTGAACTTTTTATGAAAGATAGATACACGCTATTGGAATATTTTTTGCGAAAAATATTAGACTAAAGCACCTTTGAAGAAAGTGCGCGATATGTTCACTCGAAATAGAAGAATATAAGTCAAATTTTGAGGAGGTAGGCTTTCGAAAATATATAAAAAAAAACCGCCTGCATCCGTAGAAAATAAAAAAAAAACACTTTAAGTAAATGCTTTATAAATCAAAAATTAGTTTGAAAATCTCACTTTATAAAGCTTTAAGCCATACGGAAGAGAGAAGCCCTATAAGGGACAATAGGTATAGAAACAAAGTTTAAAAGAGCATTTTTCTTTTAATTTTTCACAGAACTCACAAAACTTAATTTATTTTAACGTTAAAAGCAGCAAAAGCAAACGCAAGTTCGCTGCTTAAGTCTTTTGTTTGCTGTGCATTGTTTGAGGTAGCTAATTTTTTTTAGTTGACAAGATATGGGTTAATATAACAGTACTAGCTTTTTCTACACATTGCTTCGCAGTTTTTCACTTAACTTTTTAAGTAAATCATATCTGTGTTTTTTTTGCTTGTCTTTTTCAGTTTCGCTTAAATCTTCCGAAGTGTGTGCCATTCGTGCTGCTTGTAATTACATTTGCGTTCTGCTTGCACAGTCAAGCGTACGCTGCAAAAATAACAACAAAAACAACAAACACAACTACAAGCATAACAAATTCGAGTAATGTGGAGCTGAACAGTGCAACTGAAGAGAGTAAAGTGGTGGCAGCAAAAGTGGCTGTAATGCCACCAGCGCTAACAGCTGATGCAACTGCTGAGGTAAAGGCGGCAAAAGAAGATGACACAGAACTAGATATCGATTCCAATGCTAGCAAAGATGAAAATACAACCGATCCAGAAGATGTGGAGGATGCCGACGATGACGAAGATGACGATGACGCTGATGAGAATGATGAGGCAGATAAGCAGGCTGGAAAGCCATCAAAAAGTGAAACAGCTTTGGAGGCAGCCGAAAAAGATGATGACACAGCTTCAACGTTTAGCGTTTGGGGTATAGTACGAACAGTATGGAGTTGGATAAAAGACGATATAAGTGAAAGCTTATTTGGCGATGATGACGCTGATACAACTGGTGCAACGAAGGCGCTGGTGCGGCAGATACGTGACGTACCCGAAGCGGGAAAGACGGCAGTAGGTGAGTACGCAGATATATGACTGAATAATTTCAGAAGGGGTAGGCAAAGCAGTATATCACTCGATGGGAGATTAGATTCGAGTTCCCACTCCTAAAGCGGTATTTATTAACAGATTTCATGTGCACTTTGCTTCAATTTGAAGAGTTGATATTCGTTTAAGCAGTTAAGTGCTGCTGTTGGATTAGCAAATTTCAATTGCAACGTGTGTGTCACTGTGGATTTCGCCGTTTGCTTTATTGTGTAGTTGGCTGTCATTAAAATGCTTTGAAGTTAAATTTGTATTTCCGTTAGCACCTCTGTCAAGTATTCAAAGAAACATTTTTATTTTTCCATTTTTCCCTTTCATTTGCCGCCTCGACGAGGGCCAGTAACAAGTAAGATGTCTTAAGTAAACAAATGGAGTGTGTGAAATAGTAAAAGCCATCGTTCGACATGAACAATTACATAAAAGCGCACGTCAGCGGCTAGCGTAACAACAAAAAGTAGCAACATGTCTATTCCCTTTTTTACTTTTATTTGTTACAACATTTTGGTCACACGTTTGCTTTTAGCTTCTGTGCATCTTCTTGGTACTATCAACTGCTATTATAAATGCATTGGAAGTTGCTTGCTGCAATCTTTTATTCAACTCATCAGCATGATGATTGATTAATTTCTTTTTTTTTGTCGGGGCGTAAGTGTTAATTACCTAACTAATGCATTTTCACGCTTATCGGTATAAAAATCTTAATACAGTTAACTTATGTGATTTGTTATTTTTAAAGTCTCCTTTGAAGCATTAAATTGTTATACAACACTTATAATTTAGAGTAAGCTTCTTATATTGCAATCATAACGTAAAATTTTATTGCCTAGACAGACTCTTATGGCCTAATCGATAAAAAAAGTAGATTTAATGAGCTTTTTGAAGTGAGATTTAAAAAATTATCGATTTCTGAAGCATTCTTTATTTTTTATGAATGTGGGTGTCAGTTAATATATTTTCGAAGGTATTTAAAAAGTCGGTAAATTGTCGAGTTTTTCCTGAAAAATTAATTTATAATCTTATAACTCGAGTCTGCGCCTTCTAGTTAGGTGTATCAATTCAATATATATTAATTCTTATCAATATAACTGAATTACATTGCTCAGATAGGTGGCAACCCGCTGAAAAAATATTCTCGACTGTTAACTTTCTTCAACTATTACATTGAAATATTACAAAACATATTTATTTTATTTTATCAATTGAATAAAATTTTTCAAACAAGTGGCAACTCTCCTCAAATATATTTCTGACAGTAAACTTTCCCAAATCCCTTTAGTTTGATACCTATATTGTAGTATTTAATTTTTACCATCAATGAAATTAAATTGAAATTATCAAACAGGTGGCAACATTCCGCAAAAATATTTTCGGATGTAAGCCTTCTTAAACACTCTTTAGTTTGATACCCGTTTTGCAATATTTAATTTCTAATACAAACTAAATTAATTTAAAATTTTCAAACAGGTGGCAACCTTCCACAAAAAATTTTCCGCTGTAAGCATTTTTAAACACTCTTTAGTGTGATACCCATATTGCAATATTTAATTTCTCTTACAATTTAAATTAATTTAAAATTTGTAAACAGGTGGCAACCTTCAAAAAAAAAAA